CGTGCTTTTTTACCAGCACTATCAGAGCACCCCAGGGACTGGTTGAAGGAGAAATGATATCAGCCGCCAGCATGTCATCAACTGCCAATTTAACATGCTGTTTCTCCGCCGGGCTGAGCTGAAACGGGTTTTGACGGATAGGGGCAGCATCACCAGTATCAATGTGGTGACGCAGCAGCTTGGTGCAGCCAATATCGAATTTTGATTTACTAAACACATCCGAGAATTCTCGCAAAAGAGCCCGCAATTTCATCTGCTGTGACCTGGATAAATCGCCAGCATCCGCGCAAAGTGCATCTAACCATCCCTTGTCTGATTTGGGAGGAGGTTGAGGCTGCGGGTCATCAAATACATATCCCACGACCTCGGTCCCCAGGGGCGCCACTGTCGTGTGAGCGAGCACAGTCCCCTGTGGAACGACAGGTTCGGACAGGCCAACATTCAAAACTTGCAAAAATGGCTCCCTGTCGGCCGCTACAAGGGTCTGTGTCAGCCACCAATGCTAGGCCCTTAACCGCTGTGTTTGAGGGCCCTAAAAGAACGCCATGTACCGAGGCATTAGGAGCGAGCGGTTTCTTTAATCACAGGGGTACGAGCATTTGTGCTCCAGGCGGAATGCGTACTGTGCAAGCCGCGAATGCCTGCACAGAGGCATTGGCCGTGCGTGGATGCGTGGTCACGGGTAAAACCGCCATTCGATGGCCCGATGGAAGTTCAATACACCCCTGATCCACAAGGATTTGAATGGGCATTTTGGCGAGAAAGTCGGTTTCCAGGAGGCACGGGACCGCGAGGGAGGGAGGAAGAGACCAAAACAGGGCAAACCAATTTGATATCACAAATCGAAATTTGCGCCCGAATTTGTCCAATAATACCCAGAGAACTTCCATTAGCTGCAAAACACGGAACAGAGACCTTCTGCAAGGGTCGACATTGCACCGGCAATATGTTATAAATTAAGTCCGAGATGATAGTGGCCGATGCACCGGTGTCGACTAGAACACGAACCTCGACACCTTCGATTGAACCCACAACCACCGAGGAGCCTGTCGTCGCTGCGACCACTCTATGGGCTAGCTCCGACCACTGCCCAGGTCGGAGCGGCCATGAAGAATCACCAGACCACCACACATCATACGTCGAATCACGAGTGTTGTCAATGGTGCGTTGCAGTGTATAAGGTGTGAGTGAGGGCCGAGCGTGAGGGGTGCCGCGACTCGCCTGTTTATGCCGCGGTGCGTTGGGTGCCCTGCGGTCCTGGCCACGGGATCCGGAGGAGCGTTGACGAGGTGCACGGCAGTCGGTGGAAATGTGGCCTCGGCGACCACAGTGGAAGCACGTGCCAGCAGCTTCCATGCGCCAGCAGCTTTTGGAGGACGAGAGCGTCTATGGCCTCATCGTCCATGCGGGGGTAAGCCGCTCTTGCCATGGCGAGTAGTGTGGTACGGTACGCCAATGGCGATTTTTTTTTAGGTTTGCATTGTCTCTCATAGAACCGGTGGCGGGCGGCGGAAGGAGGTCCGTAGACATCGGACATTCTCCGACGTGCCGATTGTAGAGTTCTTTGTTGGTTGGGAATGGTGATGAGCGTGGCGAGAGCGTCGTCGTCCAAGGTGGCCGGCAGTGCCCATAGCGCCTGTGCGTCCGACCAGCCCACCATCTCTTGGTGGCTGAGGAAGCGACGCTGGAACACCGTCCAGTCGCCCCCTGTGGACGTGAACTCGCGGAAGATGGGCAGACGTTGTTGGAGAGCAGCCGTCTTTTCTTCCTCCGCTTGCTCGGACTCAATCCCGAACGCAGCGATCGCCTGGCCTACAACGTCCATTGCACAGCGTCGCTGCTGTGATGACGTGGCGTTGTCTGAGCAACTTGCGGAGGCAGTATCGCATGCCGATGACGCGCGTGCCATGATTGGCTCTCAACGTTCCCAGCGTGCACTTGATTTCCGCTTCCGGCGGAAGCACGTGATCCTCCTGCGGGAAATTTGAATCATTCCGGGTTCTCAATGGCAGAAACGTCCGCCGGCGGTTGGTCCGCCCCGCCCGCAGCCCCCAAGTTGATTTCTTTAAGGATGGAAGCTGCAGCATGCAGCAGTTGGGCGAGACGGCCGTGCGCAGCCCGGATCTCGTCGCCCGCGGCAATCGGCGGTCGGGCTGCCAGTTGGGCGGCCGGCATTTCTCGCATCTTCAGCGGCGCTCTCCGCTCCTGCAGGTGAGTCGGAGTTTTCTTCATCCGGGCCTTGCACATGGTCTTGTTTCCATGTTCGTTTTCAACCACTTCTGACTCCAGTTGTACTGTTGTAAATAACAGATGAATAAACTCCTTAAAGGCACACACTGGTTTATTGTCTTTCTTTCGATACAGTCCCTACACACATGGAGGGATATACGGTTCCCTCACCCATAGCTTAAGGAGGTACAGCCTCCGTACCCGGCGGGACCTATACACGGGTCTGGCTGCTATCCTAGGGAGGTACAGCCTCCGAACTGGCGGGAGCTATTTTCAGTCTACCCGCTAACCTAGCGTCCTCCGGCTAGGGACCTAGGGGAGGCTAGCTTGACCCACCACTGGCTCGGTGGGTCCCCTGATCACTGGTCATGCAGAGCCTTAGCTCTTAGAAGAGCTGGAAGGCTGGGGAGCCAGGGTCCTGCCTGCCAGGACCTATTCTCCCCTTGACCACTGGAACACTGAGCCTTAGCTCTTAGAAGAGCTGGAGGGCTTGGTCCAGGGTCCTAGCTTCTTCAGCCTGGGCTTCGGTCTTCGTGTGAGGAGAACTGGCGCGCGCTCCCCGCGCTCGCCCTTTTATACCCGTTTGTAACTGTCTTTATCCAATCCCACGCTCCCTCGTGGAACCCTCTGATTGGTTCATTACAGTCCGTGGTTTCGATCCTCTTTTACCTCATCTGACCCCTGGCCGTTGGTCTGGCGAGAATCTGTGTTTACGATCCGCTCTCACCTCTCCCTGGCCCCGGCCGTTGGTCCCAGAGCGGTAACGCTGCATTGCCCCTCTGATACATAGTGGCCCCGCAGGTTTCCGAATAGAGTGTCTAGCACCTCTACGCCTGCATAGGACCCTGACATCTATGTTGTGTCAGCAAGTTAACGAGGCGCAGTCCTACTGGGATTTGCACGTTCAGGGGGTTCTCATGGCCTATAGAATGGCTCCTCACGCTTCTACTGGGTTCTCACCTTTTTCCCTTATGTACGGGAGAGAACGGGACCCCCCCATAGAAGTACTATTGAATATGGAGCCGGATAAGAAGAAGGTTGCTATACCGGGCTTTATGCATCTTACCCTTAAGCAGTTGTCGGAATGATAATTGGTTTTTTACCCTTTTATCTGGCAACATTGACCACAATACTTGCAGTCGGAATGCAAACAAAAAACACAACTCTGATAATGTATGCACTGTCCTTGAAATTGATTGGTCCACACCCGAGACAGCTTTTCTTAGAGCCAAGTCTCACATGGTGTTGGACCAGATGATGCCAAAAGTGCACCTTTTGGCTGTCTCATGACAGTTGTCGGAAGCACGGGAGGCATCCCAAGGGAATTCGGCCATGCTGCAAGCAGCTAATGAAAAGTTGGTGGAGCTCCGGGAATCTAGAACCAAATGGAAACCGGGGGATAAGGCTTGACTGCACTGCCCTCAAGTGCCAGTGGGCACGTCCCCTAAATTGTATATACCATGGCAGGGCCCGGTTGAAGTGATTGAGGTTAGGAGACCCCAGAGTTTTCGGATCCAGTTTGGTCGTAGGCGTTGGCACGTACACAAATCGCGGCTGAAACCGTATTTCCCGCCTTACCTCAGCGTCGTTTTTTTTGCGTTTTTTTTTGTGTTTTTAACACGAATGATAATTTTCCCCCGTCTCCACCGAGCGTTCTTGTGCATGCGCAGATGCGTACTTTGGCGCCGCCCACAGCGTTTAAGATGAATGAATTGTTAATTTAAGTACTTTAAATTTGACAGATGGTAAAAACGAATAGCGCGTTTTCGTCCCAGGGCTTATTGCATGGTATCTGGGTACTTTTTTGATACGTAACCCCCACAGTTTGTCAGTTAAAAGCGTCACAAGGTACCCGCGCAGACAGACAGAAACACAGACAAAAATGTAGATTTATAGGTAAGATAAATAGCAATATTAATAAAAACACCATAGGCTGTAAATGAGCTAAATTTGCTCTGAATGTAGACAAATAGATTTTATTCAGAAAACGGGAAGACACCTCACCCCTGAATTAGCACCGGTATTTCAAGGAGAGACTATATAATGGCAAAATATTAAGCCAATTAATTGTTTTGGTTGCAGATTGAGTTTTGGATTTTGTGCATCACACATAACTGGGAAACTACTATTCAGAAAAAGAAATGGTAAGCCATTGACAAGAGCACTGAAAAAATTACGTGCATAGATCTTGAATCATTACAGTTAATCACATTGAGAAACGGACATAGTGTCACGCGTGGCTACTGAAGCAGGGCGGAGTGTTGAGTGAGGCAGCGACTCATCAGCTCGGATGTGCAGCAGCAGCAAGCAGCAGCAGCAAGCTAAAATTTACTTTTTATTTTACCAGGTAAGGCCTATTGAGCTATATAGCTTTTTTCAGAAACCACCTGGCCACAAATGATAGCTCAAAGAAGTAGCTTATCACGTGGAAATCTATTACAGCCAAATACTCTAAATGCATGTTGATTCTAAATGTGGATGAAAAAACCGGAGGACCTGGAGAAAAATCCACACAACCATGGGGAGAGCGACATGCAAACTCCAAATATACAGCAGGCATCAGGGTTGGGATCGAACCCACAACCTCCTGTATACCAGGCGAGGTAGTTAACATCTTGCCACTGAGGTGCCCCAAGCAGCAGCAGCCGCCTGGTCCAGGCGCATGAACTTGTGGTGGCAATGGGGCGCCAGGTTGCCGTGTGCAGCAGACCTCGGGCGACAAGTCAAACTCTAAATGAGTGTTTTACTCTTCTCGGGTAATTTGATTGCAGGAAAAATCAGCAGAGAGATCAGGTGCATTACGAAAGTGATCTGCCAGTGGAAGAGGAGGATGTGGTGACTCGTGATGCCGTGGTGTTGGGACCAAGCGAGGCTCCCCTCTTCGTGTTGCCCACGAGCACCAGCCAGCCATTCAGCAAGGTCTTTGTTGAGAGGAAAAGTGAGTGTGACCTTTCACGTCGACGCGGATACAAACTAACTGCTACATCAACCTCTACGAGAGTCGTGAACATTTTGTATTTAGGAACGATCGAAAATAAAGCAGAAAAATAAAAATGTGATGAAAACGTATTTTTGTTCCATTCCAAATACCAAATTAGCCAATCAGTAAAGAAATCTTTTCATAGCATTTTAAAGTTTAAACTAACTGATGCGAAGAGCAGTTCCACATAGTAATCCAGCGCTTGGTGAAATGCATAAATATCATCAGATGCAGGAAACTCCAAATTGTTGGACTGAGCTTGACCAGGAGATGGAAGTAATGCAAATAGATTATATCAAATGTATTTGTTTTGTAATATCTCTTCGCGTGCCTGGGTTATTTATTGGTGCCTTATACAATATAATTTGGGTTTATTGAAATATATCACCTAGAACATCCCTTGAGATGGAACAACTTAATTCGCAAGTGTGTCCAAGGTTGTCAATTGTTGCCCACTTAACAAACACAATGACACTGTAAGCGTGTACGTCTCACTGTATGTGTGTGTCATGTGTAAGCATTTATGTCTGTTGAGTGTACTGTATAATGCGTTTTAATGAATCCACATCTCAAAAAGCACCTCTTATGTGAGAGATCCTGTCTCTTATACACACACAGCTGCATGCATGTGTGGAATTGTGATTGTTACAAAGACAAAGATCCCCCATATATCCTTTTAACAGGTTGTTAGCGAAAACCTATGAAGGCCGGCACAGCATGTGTGGGGGTGGTGGTCAACACTTTTATCTCCCGAGTGCTGATGTTTACACACCATATGCGGCACTCATTTAAGGCTCAGTCGGCCTAGGGGAGGCCCAGGACTAATTCAGATTCTAGATTTGAAGTTTTCGTGACTGCAAGGATTCATAATCTTTGGTTTTTTCGGTCAAGTCACGTAGGTAATTTTTTTTTATACATTAAATTTATTTTCATTTTTTACCTACGTGACTTTACTGAAAAAAACAAAGAGTACTAATTCAAATTATCGATACTGGTGTAGGGACTTGTAAAATCACTTAGACTGACACGTTGTAACAGGTCACCTGCTTACACTTTACTCTTTGGTTCTTTTGGTAAAGTCACGTAGGTATAAAATAAAATAAATCACGACGTTTCGATTGCAACACAAGCAATCATCATCAGGTGGGAAAACCACAGCAATATATTTTTTTTGCTGAAGTGGGAGAGAAATGCCGTGGTAAGATGCTATATAGGTAAGAAAAGGGGCAAGATGAGGGGAGAGAGAGGGGGGGGCAGGTTGTGGGGTAGGGGGAGGGGAGCGCTGCATAGACGCTAGGAGAGGGACGTGAAGCTGGACGGGGGGAAGTGGGCGGGGCTGGAAGTGGGAGGCTGAGAGAGCTGGGGATGCGGGGGGGGAAGTTAATTCGGAAAAATAGACTAGTACCCGGCAGATATGATAGACAACAACTATAAAGCAGTAAGGGTTTATAACTTCAACCGAGAAGATGGATACAAATTGAGCAATCATTGGAAGGATGTTATTAATCAGGTAAAACCCTAACTGCTTTATGGTAGTTGTCTATCATATCTGCCGGGTACTAGTCTATTTTTCCAATTTAACTTCCCCCCGCATCCCCAGCTCTCTCGGCCTCTCACTTCCAGCCCCGCTCACTTCCCCCCGTCCAGTTTCACGTCCCTCTCCTAGCGTCCACGCAGCGCTCCCATCCCCTTACCCCACACCCCCCCCCCCCCCAATCTCTCTCCCTTCTTGCCCCTTTTCTTACCAATATAACCTCTTACCACGGTATCTCTCTCCCACTTCAGCAAAAATATTTCTTGTTGTGGTTTTCCCACCTGATGATGATTGCTTGTGTTGCAATCGAAATGTCGTGATTTATTTTATACCTACGTGACTTTACCGAAAGAACCAAAGAGTATGGATTCCTGCAGTCACGAAAGCTTCAAATCTAGATTGCTTACACTTTATTAACCTATTCTTGCACCAGTTGTAGGCACTCCTATCACTGTCTCTACAGTCACTTCTGTTAACCAATTCTCACTTATCTACGTTCCACCTCGCTAACCTGCTCACAGCAGCTCTCGTTTTCAGCAGCTCTGCACTCAAGGCTTCACACACAGCAGCTCTCGCTCTCAGCAGCTCTGCACTCAAGGCTCCGCACACTGCAGCTCTCACCCAGAGGCTTGCGCACAGCAGCGCTCACACAACTTCTCACACAGAGGCTTGCATTCAGCAGCTCTCACACAGCTTCTCACACAGAGGCTTGCACTCAGCAGCTCTCACACAGCTTCTACCACTCCACCTCTGCCCTCGCCTACGCTCCCTCAGACCCACTCACTCATCCGCCCCGGGCGGGGGAATTAACCATCACCCGCCCGGCGACTCGTGAGGGTTGAGGTGCGTTCCCGGCTTGAGCGGCAGCGGTAAGACATCTTCTCTCTAGTCCCCAGCAACATGAACTCCCACTCCGCACTCACGCGCGTCCTTATATTTCCCTACCAATTGTCCAGCTCCTCCCTTGTGTCTCTTTAAGGCCAGACAGGCTGGCCTGTCAGGCCATCAATCACCCCTTATCGCAAGTCTCTCTGGCAACAGCTTCTCTCCCAAATTAGGTGGCGGTTTGCCCGTGCAACCTCATGTTGCACAATCACACGTGTTTGTCCTCGGTTGCCCTTGGCCAACAGTGTGCGCCATGTATTTCAGTCCCTTCAGAAAAACGCGGAGTTTTTTGGTGATTGTTGCGGGCAAAAATCGTTGATTATGCGGCACGTTTTCTTAAAAAATGCGATGGAATATGCGGGATATTTATGCAATTTTATGCGATTAAATTGCGGGAACTTGCAAAAATTGCGGGAACTTGCAAAAATTGCGGGAACTTGCAAAAACTGCGGTTTGATGAAAAAGAGAAAAAAAAGTGATTCCCCCAACACCCTATTCACTAGGCTACTACTTTAATGTAAAGAGTCATTTCTTATTACTTCCTATGATAAGCAAGCATACTACATCACAGAAAGTGCTGGGAATATTTAAGTTCTCATCTTGTTTTATTTCAGACCTTAACAAACAGATGGCTCAAACTTACAAAACATTGAGTCGAACAAGTTCTGTAGCTTTACAAAATGAATATGCTACAACTTCTGTAAAAATGAATAAATAAAATATTAAAAAATAAAATGTGTGCTTCCTGTTTTACAGAGGTAGCTATACAAAACAGACATCTTCTGTTAAAATAAGTGTTTTCAGTGCACAGTAACGTAAGCAATACAGTAACAGTACAGTCTTACAGTAATGTAAATTTACATACTACTAACAAAAAAGTGCAATCTTTCAACTGTAAAGTTGCATAAACTCCTGAATAAAACTAACTACGTAGCCTCTAACACTTCATAACGTTCCCATGGCAACAGGGGAAATGGCTGCGCTTGTGTGAAGTAAAGGCAATATTTTTCAACTTTCTGCTAAGATATATGTGACTTTTTGCAACGAAAATGCGGGGATTATGAAATCATGCAAGCCCGCATATTTTGCGCGCGGAAATCTGCAATTTATGCGGCGAAAGTGCGGCGTATTTGAAAAAACGCGCCCCCCGCATAAATATGCGGACTTTGGCTGATTTTGCGTGGAATCTTGCGATCGCATAATCGCGTTTTTCTGGAGGGACTGGTATTTCACCACACTACACTGGTAATGGCTCTGAGTGGGAATCGGATTTAGGTCCCCCATTTTATATCGCAGCACGCTAACTGCTGTGCTACTGCTTCCCATGTGTGTGTAACAGACAAAGATCCCCCGTATAGCCTTAACAGACTAGGAGCAAGTGCCGTTAGCGAGCACCTATGAAGGCCGGAACGGTACATGAAGGGGGTGGGGTGGCGAGCACCACGCCCGACCGCCTTTGTGTCCCCAGTGGCAATGTTTACACATCGCACCAGGTCCTCATTTGAGGCTGAGTCGACCTAGGGGAGGCCCAGGACCAGTTCAGATAATCGTCACTGGTGTTGGCCGTGAGCGGGAATCAAACCCGGGTCGTCGGGTTCATAGCACAGCGTGCTAACCGCTACACTATCGCTCCCCTGTAACAGACAGGACCTCACACACATACATGTGTAGAGAAGTTCCGACGGACATACTCGGAGACAGAGGTAAGTTAGGGGCTTCCACCAGGGTTTATTAACACTTATCAATACTACACAGGGTACACAACTTTCAGGGGCTAGGGGTCCTACTCTGAGTCCGGGTCCCTGCCGGCTAGCTCCGGTCTCTCTCTCTCGTGTCGGATCGTGGAGTCTGCCGACTCCACCGACCGGAGAGAGAAGCACCTCTACGGCTACCACCGGCTTCTCCCCAGACTCCCTATTCGATCCCTCTCACTACCCCTGGTTCCCTCTTCACCCTGTTTACTATCCCCGTTCCTATAGTGACCCCGCTTACGTCACGGGGTATCCCTTAAATACCCTAGGAGGCATGACGTCACGTGCACTGCCCAGCGCGTGCGACCCCACGTCCCGTGATGTCATCGCACCGGACAGCGCACACGACGCCACCACTCTCCTCTACTCCTCTACATCACCCCCCCCCTCCCCCCCCGTGAAAAAAAAACAGCCGACCTGGCTGCAATCACCCCGCAAGCGGGGCCCCACACTGGACCGAAGACCGAACAATCACGAGTTCGTGTGCCTGAAGGTAAAACCGGCTGCTAGAAAACTCAACCTTAGGGCAGCACGGCCCCTCAAGCAGAACAGCAACAACAACCACAACAAGAAAAAAATAAAACAAATAGAGCCCGAAGGCCTCATCCGCCGGATAGCGCCAAATGGGCGCCAGGGGCTGGGCCCGCTGAACGGCCATCAGGGCCGTCACCGGAGCCGCATCCCCCTCGAGCAGGTATGCGCTGCTGGCCTGCTCCCCCGTGCGGTGTCCGCCATCCGTGCAGGTGGCCCATCAGCGGGCAACAGGCCCACCGCCGTGGCCTCCGGTG